CACTGGACATTGGGTTCATGTTGATCGCCATCAACAAATAACGGGGAGTGAAAGAACATGGCTTTGGTTCGCCGTTGAGGAATATGGTTTGATACTAAGACATTTAAAGCGCATAGTAAGGAACCGCACAAGAATCAGTCGACTTGGGCCAACGTCCGCTCGAAAATGAAGGCGCCGGCTGCAGGGCGGGAGCCGAAGTCGGGGCAGCCCATCCCTCTCTGACCCCGTGGCCGCCCCCCACTCGTTGGTTTTTCGGTCCGTGTTTTTTTCTGTCCGTGGTTGGCTCGAGTCGCCAGTCGCTCAAGGCGGTGCCACCTTTGCTCTCGCCTTTGCTCGCACCCTGCACCCTTTCAGATTGTTGTCGATTTTCTCTCGAACACTCCATGCCGGTGAACACTCGCCAGCCGGGCACTCCAGTGCGTGGAGTACTTGGCAGCTCATCCTCTGAGGCAGCGCTGGTCGAAGTCGCGCCCCTTGCCACTCCCGCCGACAAGAGGGCCCGCCAGAGGAGCCCCCTGCACGAGATGGACGATGGCTTGCTCTCGGACGACGAGGAGAAGGATAAGCAGCTCGGGAACCCCTTTTGACAGCCGGACTTCTCGAATGCCGACGCCGCTACAGGAGTTGCTCTACCGAGTGGCACGGCGGGGGTCCGTTGACGAAGCCGGTTACGATGTCGGGCATCGCGGCTCTCTTGAAGCAACAGTTGACACCCGCAACGTCAGTGGTGGGGCGCTTGCGGGAGGATCTCGGGAAGCTGAAGCTCGAATTCACCACTCTCGGCGAGACGATGTGCAACCGGCTTACGGGCGCCGAGGCGAGCATCATCAGCGCCGCGGCCCGCGTGGGCAAGCTGGAGAACCTATACGAGGAGCTGGTGAAGAAGGCGCCCTTCCAACCGACGACGTCGGGACCACGGTGCGCAACTACATCAAGGAGTACAGGAAGCAAGAGGGCGAGCACACGATCATGAGAAGGGCGCGAACCAGGGCCCGACCATAGGCAAGAGGACGGTGACGGCTGCGATCGGCAATCTGGAGGGCCTCTCCGACCTCTCCCAGGCGACGGCATGGGTGCAGGAGCGATTGACGTCCTTGGGAGCCCCTCCCCCAGTGAAGGTTTATTCGAAGGGAGGTTACTCAGGCATCATCTTCGCCGAGTTCGGGACGACGCTGGAGCGCGGCAGCGCGGTCGAGTTCCTGCGGGGCGCTGGCCCTCGGAGCGGGGGGAAGCAGATCTGGGCGAACCTGGGCCGGTCCCCCATCGAGCGCGCCGCCCGAAACTTCGGTTTCGGCTTGAAGTACATTCTCAAGAACACCTGGGAGGTGCCGCGCACGATCGCGGTCTCCGACGAGGCCCCCTACACCGTCACAGTTGGCGGGGAGCACGCTTTGACGGCGAACGCGGCGCAGGACGGAGTCGAATGCGTCTGGCAAGGGGAGTGGGAGTCATGGGCGGAGCTGCATGGGCATCCACTCGTCAGAGAGCTCCGGAAGGAGTCCGACGATATGGTGCCCCGCGCGGCGAAGGGCACGAAAGGCGCCAAGGGCACCGCGAAGGGCGACTACAAGGGGAAGCAGACCGGCGCGACTGGGCGCCCAGGGGAATAGGAAATGGCCCCCTCAAATGTTTCACCGGCACTGCCAGTCGGCAATACTGCCAATATGAGCCCATATGATTTGCGAATTCACGACAGCATGAATGCACATACTGAGGACGCGGTTGGCCGCGACAGCAGCTACACAGAATATTTCGATTACCGTGGTGGGCCGTTACGCCCCTGCAGGAAAGACGTCGTATTTGGATCATGGAACGTGGAAGGGCTGACAGAGTCCAAGATCGCAGAACTCCAAGAGCACATGCGGACCTTCAACATAGATACTCTCGCAATCCAAGAGACTCACAAGCCAGAGTCAACGCATGAGGTCGCTGACTCCAGCTATCTTTTGATTCTCTCTGGAGGCGCGGACGACCAGACGACAGCGGGGGGTGGATTTCTCATATCTCCAAGGATACGTACAAGCATCTCCGGATTCAGAATGGCGTCGTTGAGGGCGCCCGCGGTGAAGCTGCGCGTTAGCGGGGGCAAGGTGCCGATCTTCAGCACATGCGCCCCACGCAACGGCAAACCACTCGAGGTCAGAAGAGAATGTCACCAGTCTCTGGGCACCCTTCTCCGAGGCATCTCTGGGCATGGAGGGCCAATGCTTCTCGGAGATTTCAATGCGAGGCTGCGCGGGCAATTCCCATGCGATTTACCGCATATTGGGCCGCGTATATTCGGCTGCCCGTCGGCGCAGCAGGACCCAAATTACAATCGCAGTTTGCTGCTGGAGTTGTGTGGGACACACGGACTACTAGTCAGCAGTGCGTTCTTTGACCACCCACCGGAGGCGCAAATGACGCGCTACAACATCGGTTCCAAGCCTTCTGATCCAGCTCGTCCAGAACATTTTTGCCACATCGATTTTCTACTTTGCCCTGGGGGCCGGCAGTCGTTTGTCAACGATGTTCGCAGTCATAAGGACGCGGCCCTTGCGTCGCACCAGTTCCTGCTCCTCTGCTGCATGCGCCTGGGCGTTTAGAAAACCACTCGTGAGCGAAACGAGAAGCCAGACTTACAGGCGCTGTCTTGCGGCAGCGTGGTCGGCGATTTCAACGCCGCGCTCTCTGACAAAATGGCAGATTTCGATTCTGACCGGCGTACTTTGGATGAGTTGAACACAGCGATGGTTGTGGCCTTCAAACATGCTGCTGGCGAGTGCCTGCCTGCGGTTCCGGCAGCTCGCCATCGACCATGGATCAGCAAGGCGACTTTGGAGCTGATCACGCGCAGAGGGGAAGCAAGGAGAAACGGCGACTCTGACAGAGAAAAGCGATTTTACGGCATGATCAAAGCGTCGGTCAAAGCAGACAGAGAGAAGTGGCTTGACGATCTCCTCGCACCCGGGGATTGGGCCGAGATCCGGAAACTGCAGAAAGGTTCGGTGGCGCGGCAGGGCCGAATGAAGGACTCGAGCGGAAGATTGGTGAACAGCGATCAAAGGGCAGACACGTTCGCTGATTAAGAGTTCAATGGGCTGTTCGACCGGTGACAGATGTCGAATGCGCTTCCCCTATAGGAGTAGTTCTCCCAGTCCCAGAAGGCCCCATTCTCCCGGAAGAGGTTCGCGATGCTGCGCGAAAGCTGACAAGGAACAGGTCTTCTGGAGGCGGCGGCATTCCGGGGGAGTTCTGGAAGGCTATTTGCACGCCAGGTACCTCGGCTCTCGAGTGGGCTACACTGATTTGCAACAAGTGCTGGACCGATAGGCCGTGCCGGATGCGCGGCGCGAAGCAGTCGTCATCGCGTTGTTCAAGAAAGGCGACTCGGCCGAGTGTGCCAATTATCGGCCAATAGCATTGCTTCCGATTGGGTACAAATTGTACGCCATGGTTCTCCTCGGCCGCTTGAAGGACGCAGGCGCCGAAGACAGAATTTGGGACACGCAGTTCGGATTCCGATCAAAACGCGGCACCGCGGACGCACTGTTCGTTGCTCGCATATTGATTGAAGACACCTGGAGCTCTCGCTCTGGCAAGCTGGTCCTGCTGGCGCTGGACTGCGGGCCAAGGCGTTTGACAGCGTCTCGCCGACCGCCCTGGCGCAGGCGCTCGTCCGCTTCGGCACCCCCGGGCACTTCGCAGAGGCAGTTCGGGCCATCTACACGGACAGATCTTTTCGAGTGAGCGGGCCAGACGTCCGGGCCATGGCCACAAGCCTTCGGCGTCTGCCAAGGCTGCCCGCTATCGCCGTTCCTGTTCTCAATCGCCATCACGGTCCTCATGCGCGATGCGAGCCGGGCTTTCCAAGCGCACGGCATGACGCAAGACGCCCGGATACCCGTTAGTGAACTCATATACGCCGACGACACCCTTGTCGTTGGAGCCAGTGATGATTATGTTTCCAGGCTGATGGGGGCGATCCACTGCGCGGGGTCCAACTACGGGCTTGCCTTCAACTGGAGCAAGCTGGAAGCTTTGCCTGTCTGTTGCGAGACTGCCTTGACGAAGCCAGACGGCGCCCCCATCCCGAGCAAGGACAGCATGGTCTACTTAGGAGGACTCTTGAGCTCCACAGGTCGGAGCGGGCCTGAACTCAGCCGCCGGCTAGGTATGGCCAGCGCCGATTTTGAGACGCTGTGCAAATTTTGGAAGCACGCGCGATCTGTCCCTCGACAAAAAGCTAGCAGTCTTTGACGCGTGTGTAGTATCCAAGTTGTTTTATTGTGTACACACTGTTTGGTTTAACAAAGCAGAGCGCGGCAGGATTGACGCTTTTCAGGTGCGTTGCCTGCGCCGGAATTCGGGCATCAAGCACTCGTACATAAACCTCATTAACAACGAAACTGTTTTACAGCGATGTGGCGTTCAGAAGCTGAGCGACGTACTGGCGCGCAGGCAGTTGAAACTCCTGGGGCAAATTGCCCTGATGCCAGGGAACAGCCCCGTGCGCAGGTTCATTTTCCAACCCGGCACTTTCGAGCTCGCGCAGGCTGGGGCTCGCCGCAGGGTGCGGCCCCGCAACACGTGGAAGTTTCAGGTGTACGACCTTGCTTGCCGGGCGGCCAGCGGCGAGGAAGCGTTGCACGCCTTGTGGCATCAAGGGCAGAACGTTTGATTGTTTTTGGTGTGCGAGTTTTTATGATGCTGATTTTTATGATTGATTTTAGTGAGGAATTGCGAAAGCTCGGCCCCCGCCGCCTGCCCTCCAGGTGGTGTCGTCGCTCCCTCTTCCGCCGTCCTGCGTCGCTCCTCTGCCCGCTCTCCCTCCTGCTCGTCCCTCGGGCTGTCGCCCGGGTTTCGTCCTCTTCCCCCCCCCCCCCTGTCGTCTTCTGTCGCTTGCCCTTCTCCTTCCCCCGGCTCTGGGTTCGCCCTGGACCCCGGGTGTCGTTCCCTCCTATGCCCCCCTGCTGCGGTTGCTCTCCCGGGTCGTCCACCTTGCGGGGGGCAATTTTGGCGAGCCGGGTATGCATGACGAGATTGGCAAGCTTTCCCTGTGCATGGAGCCAGCGACGCCGGAGGCTTCGCATCGCATGTCGCTGTGGTTTCACACCCCTTTTTGCCAATGCACCTCTGACGTGCACGGCTTCTCTCTCTCTCTCTCTCTCTCTCTCTCTCTCTCTTTCTCTCGTCATCCTGATGGGCCTGCGCGGGGAGCCGCACCCTTTCGGTGTTCTGTGTTCGGTCTTGCTGGGCCTCGGTGCTTTGTGCACCTCAATTCGCCTCCTCCCCTTTCCTCTGGGTTCGGTGAGGCGGTCCCCTCTTGGACCCTCCTGGCAGGTACCCGCGGGCATGATTTTCCAACCAACAAACAACATATTCCGCCAGTCCGGTTTCGGCCCCCATCCGGCTATCAGGGGGATGGGTATCCCGCCGCGAAGCATACGGGCCCTTAGGGAAACGGGTCCCGGGTTTTTTGGTGGCCGTTCGAATTTTTCGACAGTGCCCGAATCGTCCCGAAAGGCCGCCGGAGACCCGGGTCCTAACGGAAATTCGGTCTGACGGTTCTCCACGTTTTCTCTACGTCACCCACAGGGCTTGCCACAGGGGCGCGAAGAGAGTCGCGTGTCACGGCCTTTACAAGAGCGGCAGCCCTTCTCCAACGAGGCGGCGCGAGGACCCGAGACCCGAGGGCGCGAATATGATCGCGGGGCGCGATGCGCAAAATTAGTTTTCGGGCGCTGGGGGCCCTGCACCGCGCGGCCAGGGCCACCAAAAGCGGACACAGGGTCAAAGGTTGGTCCTTGTGTGAGCTCGGGGATCCAGTGCCCGTTTCTCCAAGGACCCCTTCGTGGCAAACCATCATCTGGAAGGTGATCGAAGCAGGGCTTATCCCGATCTGGTCGATCGGGTCAGATATCGTTTTCGGCCAGCCAGATCCTATTCGGTTCGATGTTCTGGCGATCCGATGCGGCCCAATGTTTGCACGGCGTTGTTGTGCATGCTGGCGCAGCCGATCCGATTCGGCTTGGACTCTGCGCTGGTGCGGCCTGGTCCGACGCACGTTCCGATTCGACCCGAAACCCCGATTCGATGCAGACTGTTCCTGTGGAGGGGAGTGGGGAGAGTACGTGTCGGGGGCGGCGTCGAAGAGGGGGTCGGGACGAGAGGGGATGTCATGGCCAGGGCCATGGAGCCGTCCAAACATCGCGGACCCCTCCTCTTGGAAACCGTTGCACATGTCAATATTTAGGATCTGCAGTGGCGAGGAAGGCTCAAGCGAAACGCCCGACCCGCCATTCCGACGCTTCTCGGGGTGCGACAGGGAGGGGATATTTACAGTTTGACCGAAGTGCAAGATCCAGGTCGGTTCGGGGAGGGTACCCATGTGTTTTCCCTGCTATTTGAATGTTCCTTGTGCATCCTGGGGAGGGTACCCTTGGATATTCTGTGTGCTTTGCGCGGCGGAGGGCCTCATGTTCTTGAGGGATGTTCTTCTGGCCTAGGTCCGACTGTATAAGGTAAAGGGATGAGAGAGGAGGAAGAGGAGGAGGAGGAGGAGGAGAAGGGGGAGAGCGAGGAGGGGGAGGAGGAGGAGGAGGAGGAAAAGGAATAGGAAGGAGGGGGAGGAGGAGGAGGAGGAGGTGGAGGAGGAGGAGGAGGAGGTGGTGGAGGAAGAGGAGGAGGAGGAGGAGGAGGAGGAAGAGGAGGAGGAGGAGGAGGAGGAGGAGGAGGAGGGAGGAGTCAGGAGGAAAGGGCGTGAAGAGCGTGGAGAAACCCCCTCCGCCCCTCCCGGCCCGCGATGCTAGCGCGGGCGCGATCGCCGTCGAGGTTCGTGCCAGAGCCGGCGGCCGGACCGGCGGGGCCCCGCGTCCCTTGCGGCGGCGTGTGCGGCGGCATTCCTCCGCCGCGCGTCGGGGCGCGGGTGGGATGCGCGGGGTGGCCAGGATCGAAGAGGAGGAGGAGGAGGAGGGGAGGAGGAGGAGGAGGACCTTGTCACCCTCGCGTTGTGAAAAGAACAACGGGGAGTTTTGGTAAGGCTCCAGGAGAGGAATATAGCGCTGTAATTAGGCAACGGTATCCCCAATGTCCCCAGGAGGTGTGCAACGCGTACCTGTAAGCTTAGAGGTCGGGGAGGTGTTTTGTTGTTTTTCAGTGCATGTCTTGGAAACATGAGGGAACCCCACTGGGCCACATAAGCATCTCACTACATCAACACCTTAATTCCATCAGCGCAAATACACGTCAACGCAACACTCAGTATCATCACCTCGTGTTGTGACTGTTGCGCGTGCTAGCATTGCGTAGTTCGCATGCTCACGCACGGGTGCATTCAGGGGGGTGTATGGGGTGTCAGTGGTGAGTGCGGGTGAAAGCCAAACTCTGTTTTACTAGTGTAGGCTTGGGTTTGTGCGGCGTAGAAGCTCACGGCGCTCGTCAGTTCATTGTGGGGGGGGCCAACCAGCTGGTGTTCACATCATGGCGTTGTGCCGCGATTGGGGTTCATGTGGTGGTTGTTTAGGGAAGGCGGGGGCGGGGTCTGACAACGGTATTGTGGATACGAGAAAACGAACGCGTCCGTTGTTGGACAACGATAACAGGGACGCGTCAAAGGGACAGGGGTGCAAGGCAACCTTAGAAACCTGGTGATCCCGCAAGGGTCGGCGGATTATTCGTTCTGGAGCCCACGTGTTGTCACTGATGGTTACAATTCCCACTACAATGTAACATAAAAACGAGCACGACACATTGTGCTGGTTCCGTGTGGCTTTATGCGAACGTGAGACATGGCACGACGAATTGCATTGTATTGCGTTGTAACAGGTTCCAACATGTGCACTGCGTTGCATTGCAGTGCCAAGACTTGTATTGCGACACAATGTAGCCAGTGTTGTCCACGAGTTGCAGGCCATTTTGTCCCAAGCTGTTTGTTTTTTGCTTGGAACTCGAAGGTGACGAGCTTCCACTGCCCCCTTCCACCGAGCAACGCTGCAGACATTGACGGAGATGATGCAGGCCTTCCTTTGCCCCCTGTGGTAAGCAGGAAGCGCGGCCGACTTGCAGCAACGCGTCCAGAGTGGGGCGACGTGTCCATCACAGTGATCTGCTCGGCCCCTGGAATTTCCGGCTGCTGAGTGGACGAGTGCACGCGCGCGTTCGAGGAGAGGACGGTTCTGGGTCTTTGTATCGGGCGCCGGTCTGTAGTTAGCGGAGGCGATGCACTGGCGTCGAACAGACAGGCATACATCATGTTCAGAAAATGTGGCGACCCACCTGGCAACGCCATACCTGGCGCCATCTTTTACAAGACCACACAATCCTCAGCATCAGTGCGCAGGCATGTGCTGCAGGTAGGTGTATCAGACCTATGGCATGGCATCAAATACGAGATGTGCAGAGACATGGTTGGACAGCATGATCGATGCGAGGACATGATTTGTAAAGAGATGGTTCGGTCGCGGGCCCATGGCGCCAATATTTCAGCGTCGGACCTCCGCATCAGATTTGCAGCGGTGCCAGAAGGATTCGCATATATCATAGTTGGGCAGCGTTGAAGGTTGCACCCCTCGTCTCGAACATGCGCTTCGCCAATCGATCGATGAGCAGTGGTCCGCCACCGCAGGTTGCAAAGCATTGGAGGTCTTGCTTCTGATTGGAAAACCCCGAGGTTGGATCACCTGGCATGGCTCGCTTTCGACAGCATCAAGAGGTTCATGCAGCAACGGGGTTCGGAGGCCTTCCAGGCACAGTGTCAATAGCGCTCTTGGATGCGACACGGCACCGGAAAAGCCCTTACCACATCGCACACAGGTTGCCTGGGCCAAGATCTTAGCACGATTCGACATTGAGGCTGCAGGCAGGACGGTCGAGAGGTCTGAGAATTGCGAGATAAAGGTGCTCCGCAGGGCGCGGGTTCGATTAGGTTGCGCCCACCTGCTGCGAATTCGAATGCACCTGCGCTCAGAATTCTCTTCATCGGAAGTGCACGCGTTCACTGACGGCAGCCCTCAGCGGAGAGGAGTGGAGATGATGGCGACAAGCATGGACCTCATGCGGCATGACAGTGGTAGATGGACACGCATGCGGATGTTACTACCGATAGTGCGCACTGGAAGCAAGCAGCATGACTTGACGGGAAAGTCCTACACTGCGTTGTGGGAGATCATGCTCGCCACAGGTCCTTCTTACAGGGATATGAGGACATGGCCGGCCGACGTAGTTTCAGTCGCCTCGCATTTCGGGGCGGAGCGGCTCTCGCGTGCGGCGCCTGATATATGGATCGATTTCGGCGTTCACGTCGGCGCGCGCGTTCCTCCGCGAGTTCAGCGGCCCCCAAGATTCCCCCCGCTCGATCTTCTCGCGCCTGGGTGGATGCGCCTTATCGACGCGATTATGAGGAGAAGCTTGTCTATGCGACCTTGGTTTCCATCGTGGCTTGCGTGGTTGAAGGCGATGATGGCGCTCTTGCGGTGCTACCCAGGCGACGCGGTGAAGGCCATCAATCAACGCAACGCATCCCTCAGTCGGCATGCCGGTTGAGAGACTTGGCACCCCGTATTTTGCAGAGTGGGGGCGGGGGCGGGGGCGGGGCGGGGCGGGGCGGCGCGCGCGCGGGGCGGCGCGGCGGCGGCGGCGGCGGGGGGGGGGGGGTGCGATTCACAAGGCATGCGATGCAATCGGTGTTCTACATGATATAGTTCGGAGGTCATGGGGGCAGTTCGCTTTCATCGAGAAGATCAAAGACACATCATTGATTAAGAAAGTCTGAGCAGCCGTTCTGCGCGCAGAGTGGTCTCGGGATTTCGACTTTGCGAAGCGGCGCGCGCAGTGGCTCGCGCCATTGCAATCGCGGCGGGCGGGTGGGCGGGGGGGGGGGGGCTTGCGCGCGCCGCCAGTCCGATTGCAAGCTTGGCATGAAAGTATCGTGTTCATTGAAGGGTAGATTTGTCACATATGCATTTGACCACGCCGTTGCAGTATCCGACCGGGCCATCGCCGAGATCCGAGAGCGGCCGCTGTGACAGTTCGGAAACAACGCGGAGTTTCAGTCCATGTGTCTCGGCGCCGTTGAGTTTTCCAGGGCGCTTGGTTTGC